TAAACCACCACCACTACAACAACACAACTACCACCACCACTACAACAACTACAACATAACTACCACCACCACTACAACACAACTACCACCACTACTACAACACAACTACCACCACCACCACTACAACACAACTACCACCACCACCACTACAACACAACTACCACCACCACCACTACAACACAACCACCACCACCACTACAACAACACAGCTACCACCACCACAACACAACTACCACCACCACAACAACAACACAACTACAACCACCACCACCACACAACTACCACCACCACCACTACAACAAAACTACCACCATCACTACAACAACTACCACCACCACTACAACAACACAACTACCACCACTACTACGACACAACTACCTCCACCACCACTGCTACAACACAACACACCTACCATACAACACACTACTACAACACAACACAGCTACCACACTATACACTACTACAACACAACACACCTACCACACTACACACTACAACGACACAACACACCTACCACACTACACACTACTACAGCTGCACGGGAGATTCGAGGTTGTTACAAGAGAGAAATAAGGAGAGGAGGACAGAGGTTGATAGTTAGGAGAGAAGGAGGACAGATGTTTGATAGGAGAGAAGGAGGACAGATGTTTGATAGGAGAGAAGGAGGACAGATGTTTGATAGGAGAGAAGGAGGACAGAGTTTGATAGTTAGGAGAGAAGGAGGACAGAGTTTGATAGTTAGAAGAGAAGGAGCAAACCACACCAGAGCACCCACCAAACACCCAGGATAGGTTTTTCCCCCGTATGAATTTTGTTTTGTTTTAGTAAGTGTTTTACGGCACTTGCAACACAATAAGGTCATATGAATGCGGAAGATTTGAGGTGTTACAAGAGAGGAACGAACACAACAAAGGAGGGAAGATGTAGGTGATAGACGTTTGTAAGGAAGGAAGGAGCAAACCATAGCAGGGCACCTGCCAACCACCCACGACAGAAGGAGTATGATGTAGAGTGGTTCACCAGAGCACCCGCCAACCACTCAGGAAAAGAAGACAGACAGACAGAAACAGCTGAGGGATAGAAAAAGAAGTAGGAGCTACCAGTGACAGCCTCCAACCACCCACAGTCAGCACAGAACGTTCAACAACAAACAAACCAAACAAGTAGTCTATTTATAGATCTCGTATTTATTCCACAGAAACAAACAGGGCAGCCCGCTTCCCAAACACACCAGTTGTGCTGTCTCATCAGGGAACACATGTACACGTTTACACACACTTCTACACACACTATCTCAGTGTGTCACAACACACTACCACACATCAATTATATCATACACACTTACTCACTGTGTCAGAACACACTATATACACACTTAATGTGTGACGATACACTACATCACACATTTACTTGGTGCGTCATAACACACTACATACACACTAGTATGGTGTGTCACAACACACTACATACACACTAGTACCGGTATGGTGTGTCACAACACACAACATACACACTGGTGTGTCACAACACACTACATACACACTGGTGTGTCACAACACACAACATACACACTGGTGTGTCACAACACACTACATACACACTGGTGTGTCACAACACACTAAATACACACTGGTGTGTCACAACACACTTCATCAAACACAACACAACAAGCCAACAGCTCTAACTAAATCCAACGGCTAGGGAAAAAAACAGCTGTGGAATTCTCACCAACTTTAAATTCTAAACAAATGAAACAAACACCTCAACAGACCATCTAGATTTTTATATATACTCACAAACACATCAATATACCATACAATATATATAATGATGTAATCTGCTGACCCCCCCTCCCCCGCCAGACTTCTCCAACTCACGGGGACAAAATGTCCAGTCAAAGTGCCTGCTGATTGCTGAGCACAAGAACAAAGTAAAGAAATATTTTCAAACACTTATGGACCGATTCCCCGCCGCAACCAACTGGCTGAAACTGGACAAAACACAAACAAACAAGCACACAAACCAACACACTAATCTTCGGCTACAGCCCATTCGCCGTACCTCTGACGGCGGGCTGTCCTTGTACGGTTACTACACCCTCCTTGAGACAAACATTCAGTTCTACTTTCGTACACAAATCAACAAACCAGCGAACGTTCAATGTTGAGCTCACCACTGAGTGGAAGGGACAAAAATAACAAGTTCCAACAACACAAGTAGAAGATCAGCTGCCACACTGTGACAAAACCTTTGACCTTTCAACTATTGACCCTGGACATATGTACAAAGTTGCATCAGTCAGTAAAGAAATCTACATTATGTAAAACATTAAGTTAGGCCTCTTGGCAGTAAATATATTCTCCATAATATTATCATCCTTAAAAAATACTCACATGTATCAACACACATATATTACAATATATATAATATGGCAATCCTAGATGGGTTTGTCAGTCAGGCTCTCAGGTCTGGAGGTAAGGCCACGGGAAGCTTACCCCTACAGCGACTAACAGCAACACACAGCATGGTCAACGTCTGCAATGTCTGTTGTGTGTAGTGTGTAGCGTGTAATGTGTAGCGTGTCGTGCGTTTGCAGGAATAACTGTTCCCTCACCTCCTGCCCCCCCCCCCCAAACATATAGAAAGCAGCAATCATAGGTCTAGATGTATAGTAGAGGGACATACTGCCCCAAAAGTCACTCATATAGAGGGACAATCTGACACCAACGACACTTTGTACTGACACAAACGACACATTGTACTGACACAAACGACGACACTCTGTACTGACAGAAATGACACTTTGTACTGACACAAACGACACTTTGTACTGACACAAACGATGACACTTTGTACTGACACAAACGACACTTTGTACTGACACCAACGACACTTTGTACTGACACAAACGACACTTTGTACTGACACAAACGACGACACTTTGAACTGACACAAACGACACTTTGTACTGACACAAACAACGACACTTTGTACTGACACAAACGACACTTTGTACTGACACAAACGACGCCACTTTGTACTGACACAAACGACGCCACTTTGTACTGACACAATGACACTTTGTACTGACACGTCGCTGCATGGAAAACCTAAATGAGCTGACAGAATGTCCTCCCCCTAGCTGACTTTGAACAGACGGCAACACATGTGAGGAGGACTCTAGACAAATGTTTAAAATTCAGAGAAAATTTTTAAAAAATAAAAACCAAACATATGGTGATGAGAAAGCTACGCAAGACTCAACGTTCTTTCTCTTTAGACAACAAACGTGACAAACTTTTCCAAACAGAGCAAATGATGCACAAGGTACCCATCCATCCATCCATCCATTTATCCCACCCAACTATCTCACCGCCCAATTTTTATCCCGAGTGACAAATGAAAATCCTGTTACAACAAAACCATACCTCTTCCTTTGAACGTACGCACAAGCAACAATACCTCTGACGTACGCACAAGCAACAATACCTCTGACGTACACACAAGCAACAATACCTCTGACGTACACACAAGCAACAATACCTCTGCTTTGTTTGATGAACATACACACAAGCAACAATACCTCTGCTTTGTTTGATGAACATACACACAAGCAACAATACCTCTGACGTACACACAAGCAACAATACCTCTGCTTTGATGAACGTACACACAAGCAACAATACCTCTGCTATGTTTGATGAACATACACACAAGCAACAATACCTCTGCTTTGAACGTATGCTACAATACCTCATTGTTTTGTCAACACTAGCGAGTCTTGCTCGCGGCAAACCACTACAAGTTTTTCTTTTAAAAAAATAATCTCTTGTTGACGGTCCAAATGTCATCAGGTAATAAAATGATCTTACAAAAGAAGGAGCAGGAAAAAAATGTGCACATTTTTCTCTTTGGCAAAAACCATCAGTTGAAAGCCCGCGGTCTGAGGACTTTTCTACCTCTCTGCTCTAACTGAGATCAGATTCCTATCCACAGCACAGGAACAAACTGACACCGCGGGATGACATAAGTCCCGGAATAATTCCTTCTATGTCATTCATTGTTGTATTGACCTCAATTCCTTATATGGAATTTTTTTTTAAGAGTCCTGAAATGTTCCGAGGGAGACTCCATGAGCTCTGCCCATCCTTGACCCGGAACATAGGCCGGAAAAGAAGAAAAGGCAGGCTCTCTAGGAGAAGAAAAGGCAGGCTCTCTCTCTCTCTACACTGGTCCAATCACTCGACTGTCGCCTATGTGGCAACTTGTAGCAGAGACACGACAGGAGGGAAGCACGCAGCACCTGGCAAGTGCTGTGCACACTCGGATAAATAACCAAATAGAACAGAAAACCCTGAATCGATGTGGAAGCTAAAAATACTTTAAACAATTGACCGGCAACCAAATTGCCGAATACTTTAACTTTAACATCACTGACGACAAAATACTTTGACACCATTGACCGTTAAATTCTTCAACGCCATTCACCGCCAAATACTTAAATGACACCGTTGACAGCTAATACTTCAACAACACCATTGGGTGCCAAATATTACACGCCATTCACCAAACACTTCCACGACACCATTGGATGTCAAATATTTTAACAACGCCATTCACCACCAAATACTTAAATGACACCATTGACTGCTAAATACTTCAACAACACCATTCACTACCAAATACTTAAATAACACAATTGGATGCCAAATACTTTCACAATACCTTTCACTGTCAAATACTGGAACACCATTCACCTCCAAACACTCAAATCACCATTCACCTCCAAACACTCAAATCACCATTCACCTCCAAACACTCAAATCAGCATTCACCTCCAAACACTCAAATCACCATTCACCTCCAAACACTCAAATCACCATTCACTAGTGCTGGGCGCCTCGGTTCCCGATTGTTGAAGGCTATGAATCGTAGGAATCGACTCCGAACCCAATTACTTACTTTCTAATGATATGACTTCTTTCAGTGGTTACCTAATTGGCTCTGAATATCTTCAGGATATAGGATAACCTTGATTTCGGAACACTACGAAGCATCAGCTCGTTTGTTTGCTGCTTTTTTCCCCCAATAAATTCGAAACAAAGAAGAGGATTTAAATTATAAATTAAAATTACTGGTAACCATTGGTTTTCGTAAAATGAAGTCGGAACTTTTCTTCTGTAGTATTAATCTTGGGAATCGGTTCCGCATTCGATTCTTCGCCCAGCCCTACCATTCACCTCCAAACACTGAAATCACCATTCACCTCCAAACACTCAAATCACCATTCACCTCCAACACTCAAATCACCATTCACCTCCAAACACTCAAATCACCATTCACCTCCAAACGCTTCAAAAAGGTCAGTGGCCAGCAAATACAGACGTCCTCGCCACTCCTCTCCCACCACGGACAACTTCTATCACATAAAGTTCAAGAGGTCAAAGAAACAAGGTAACAAAAGGTCACGGGCAAATGCCTGTGTGGAGATGAGCCACTGACTGCCAAAGTGACCAGTTTTGTTTGGGACTGTAGAAACATATGAACAAGTCCTCCACCTATAGGCTTCTGTGCACAAAACTGGTCCTATTGCAAGTCCACCGAGTGTTGGAAGGGTCTCCCCACTTTCAGCAATCAGGTTTCAACTTTTCACAATGTCACTTTATTTTCTTACTACAAAGCCGGCCGGCCATGCGCCACACGTTATCAAACTTCAACGTGTACAGTGAGTTTCCCTTGATCTCATCAAGGGGCTGACCATTACCGATCATTTCCCTCGCACCGGTCGACGTATCGGTACTTCTACAGATTTGCTTGGACACACACGCCCGTCGTCACTTTCCCAGCAGACAAAGACACTTCCAGTTGGCCTGGCCCAGGGTCTGTGATCGTCCACCACCATCATGGAAGAAAACCTGGCACTTCCGACAGTCGCCTGGGTCTACCTGCCACCTGGCACTACCACCGGTCTCAAGGTCACCGGCCTCGTCAAGGTCAACAATTTTCAGAGCTCCTGCACAGAGTACCCTGCCGGAGGTTCATCGATATCCTGGGCTATGCTAGCACTCGACTCACGAGTGTGGCGGCCATCTTGAAGGACCAGAAGGAGGAGGTCAGGAGGAGGTCGGGAGGAGGATGAGTGCGAGGTTCCTCCCCTCCCCCTGGTCTCTCTCTCCAACAATTGTGAACAAAACGTGAGATAACACAGAACAAACTCCGTCCCGTGTCAGTAGTAGGGCCCGTGGGAGTCCACATCTCTCCACACAGAGAACTCTGCCCAAGTGTCCGTGCGTTTCTCCGGCAGCCATCTTGGATTGAACGTGGGCCCTGCAGGGGGCATGGCAGTGTGTTGGCCGTAGTGTTCAGAAACAATACAGTAATTGGCGCCGTCGTTGTTGTCCCAGTGTTGCTGGCCGTTCTCCTCGAAGCAGACGGCAAACTGTAGCTGTTTGGACACGTCAAATGTGGGCGACACCTCCATGGTGAAGGAGAACGTGTCGTACGGGTCCGAGTAGCTCAGGCCGGGCCCTGGCACAAACGTGCCCTCAAAGTCCTCGAAACTTTCCCACTCATCCAGCGATAACCGGACAAAGACGCGCTTCTCGAAGGTGATGTTCTTGACCTTAATGGTCCCCTCCACCGAGTAGTCTCTCAATATCACATTCTCCAGACTCACCAAGTTGCGGCTGATTTTGTCTCTGAACGCCAGGTAATCCGAGGCTGGCTGGGAGAAGCAGAGCCTGATGGGGGGCTTGCAGGTCACGTCTGCGTTAGCTCCCAATGTCAATGAGGACAACATTTCGGGATTCAGCTGGGGCGGTTCGTCCGGTCCTTCTTTGACCAATCGGACCTGTGCCAGGGCCAGGCCCTTGTGGTCGGCAAACGACACCTTTTTGGGCGTCCGGCCGGGGGAGTGGGGACTCTCAGGAGCTGAGGAGGACGACTCCCCCTCCGAGTCGCTACAACTCTCCGGTCGGATAATGATGGATTTCAGAGGTCCATTTCTGCGCTTGTTTAAGTTAGTGTGGCCTGGCTGTGACATCTGGAGTGAAGGGAAAGAAGGATGTGCGGAGTAATTTGCATTGTCAAAGGGCAGTGGGTCGATTCCTAGGTGAACGTGCGAGCGGTGTCCGGAGTAGCCCATCAAGTCAAAGCCTGCGCCGGGCGGGCTGGCCGACAGAAGATAGGGCGAGAAGTCCATGGGCAATCTGTGGCCAACAGCCTCCGGGCTCGTCGAGAATAGATCCAGCATTGGAAAGTCTGAAAGGAAAAAACAAAACATTGGAAAGTGTGAAAGGAAAAAACAAAACATTGGAAAGTGTGAAAGGAAAAAACAAAACATTGGAAAGTGTGAAAGGAAAAAACAAAACATTGGAAAGTGTGAAAGGAAAAAACAAAACATTGGAAAGTGTGAAAGGAAAAAACAAAACATTGGAAAGTGTGAAAGGAAAAAACAAAACATGGAGAGTGTGAAAGGAAAAAACAAAACATTGGAAAGTGTGAAAGGAAAAAACAAAACATGGAGAGTGTGAAAGGAAAAACAAAACATTGGAAAGTGTGAAAGGAAAAAACAAAACATGGAGAGTGTGAAAGGAAAAAACAAAACATTGGAAAGTGTGAAAGGAAAAAACAAAACATTGGAAAGTGTGAAAGGAAAAAACAAAACATTGGAAAGTGTGAAAGGAAAAACAAAACATTGGAAAGTGTGAAAGGAAAAAACAAACGAGCTGATTACTTCCCACCTTCCTTCTGTCCGTGGTCAAAGAGGAGAGGACAGTCCCCAGATTTCTGACAACATCATCAACCTCCCAGCCCAGACTTTCACTCTTTCCTTTTTGGCAAACTGTTCCCCCAACTTATGGGCGAAACGTCTGTGCCGGTGATCCGCTGGTTACACTTTTGTGTGTGCAGGGGTGACCAACTTAGTTACAGCTAAAAAACTATAGCACATATATATATAACTTCACCAAATTTTTAACGAAACAAAACCAGTGGGTCAACTGTTGGCTCGCAGCTTCCCATAGCTAGTAATGAAAAACAAAACAGATCTCAATCAATAAAGAGCATCCCGTAATGACACGGGATTCAGCAACCGGTGCGTCTTGTCAACACACGGAAATAGGCGAAGTGACTTTAAAACTTTTCTTCGTGAATTTATAAAATACTACAAACCTCCTTCATGCGGAAAACAGAATTGTTCCCAGCATTTCCCATTTTTCTTGCAGGTGCGTTTCATGTAACTGCAGTCTAATTTACATAAAAACATCTCACACTTTTGAAGAAACACGAGTGGCATTGGTTCCTTGTCCATGTGAATTGAAAAGAGTTTACCGGAGTCAAATTTTCAGCCGTCTTCGATTCGTCCTTTTCTTTATTGTGTCCTGACTTTGGGTCTCGGTTCACACATGAATGACATAACAGGGCCCTATGACTTTGTTTGACTGCAAAGTTTTCTTTCCAGACCATGAAACATTCAGTGGGTGGTCAATAGGAACTCTTGGAGACTTAACCGAAGTTTGCGTTTCAGCCCGTTAAGCTTCCTGGACTGTGACTAGTTTCACTATGTTTTGCAAAAAGACAGCACTCATGTAAGATCGGTGACATGAAATGTGCACTCGGCGCCCTTCTCAGTCACATCTATATATATATCTTTCTTTGTACGTTGTACAACTGCCAGAATACCATTCACACCTTGTGTTGTACAACTGCCAGAATACCATTCACACCTTGTGTTGTACAACTGCCAGAATACCATTCACACCTTGTGTTGTACAACGGCCAGAATACCATTCACACCTTGTCATGTCAATTGTATCACTGGCAATTCTTTAGAGGGAAATTACACAACAGTAAACAAACATCCATTGAAAAGCTGCCACTTAATATATATGCTTCCCATACTTTTTACGTAAAAAAAGTACAGCAGGTACCCATGACAAGTACCTCATATTCAGGCAAATCCGTACAAGTTACGTAAACATTCTCGCGTCAAAAAGCAAGTATGACAAACCAATTATTTGGTCTTAATATAAATTTTTGTTTTTTGACAACTTTTAACGCACTTTTAAACGATTTCGAATGCCGATTTTTATTAATGTTATTACACGCAATTTTATCTTTCGAACCATAGAACTAAAAATCTAGATCGATACTGATTTGTAAGTTTTGTTTTTTGAGTTCTAGATTAGATCTAATCTAGATCTAGATATATCTAGATCTACCCTTATTTTTCTTCCACTATAGTAGTACTAGACTAGATCTAGATCTAGAAAATCTAGATTTCTAGCATAGCCTCTTTCTCCTCGGCCTCCCTTGACCTAAATCTAGATCTAGATCAAAGAAACTTACCGTTCAGTCATGGCTGTTGTTTTTGACGACATACCATTATGGAAGCTAAACGGCGTCGAGTTCGCCCTCTGGTTTGGGAAAATGGAGCTAAACCCAGAACATCAGCATCATCTCGACTTTGGGGAGGGCTTCTCTATTTTCGCTAGATTCTACAATGCGAGCTTCCGTTCAGTTGAAAAGGTTAGGCCTAGCCTACCAAAAAAAAACAACCCAACCAACAACAAAAAGGCACAGGAGCGCCAGACTTATCAGGACGCTTGGATCTGGAACTAGATCTACGTATTTTCAAAAATCTTGAATCAGCAGTAAAATGTACTCTTGGCACTGTCAAGATATCGTCGGTGTAAGAGCTTGCCGACAGATCAACCACAAATTCTGCGTTCTTGGGTCTGTGAACACCGCCACTCGCCACTCAGCTGGTTATGACACGCCAAGGTCGAGGTCATATCTCCAGGACTCGCGACCTTTTGCCCTTTCGAACAACTCCCGTCTTTCTTTTTCAGGAAACCAAAATTAGTAGTCTAGGCCTAGAAGTTATTGAACAATCTGATATACGGTAAATCTACAACACATTTACAACAAATAACATGTTTATTTTGAAGGAAACGCCAAAGCTAGCAAGTAACAAGTCAGGCAGGGAGCGCATGCATGCACACAGTCAGTGTGTCATGTTCTTTCCAAGCTGGCTCTTACGGGAGCGATTATTTAGGTCAAGTTCACCAGTCCTGCTGAGTGGCGAAAAGAAGAGGAGAAAGACGGAAGAAGAAAAGATCTCGAAGACAGGTCGAAAGCTGAACATAACAGGGCTTGTCCGTCTTGGTGCACAACGTCCCCTGATTTTTATCATTGCCAACAGTTTAATAAACCACACATAAAAATCTAGATCTAGATTTCTAGATCTTAGATCTAGAATCTAAAATCTAGATCTAGAATCTAGATTATATGAGTATAGATATCTAGACCCTAGCCTAGGGCCTAGGCCAGGCCAGGCCTACTCAATACTAGATTCTAGATCTAGAATCTAGACCCCTCCACGCCACAGAAGGAAAGAATTCCGATATACATCTAAAAATTCTAGATTCTAGGGGGGGG